AGGAGGTGACTCTAATCTTTAGTTCAATACAACCATGCTTCTTCTCAGTTTGTATACTAAAACATGAGTACTTCATTCATTATGAATATCCTTTGAGAATTAAGATATGAGGACTTCATTCAGTAAGAAATTCTTGTTTATCCATCAAACTCATAGTCAAATAAGGTGAGGCTACGCGCAAGCCCTAAAACCTAAAACCAGAATTCTTCTTCAAGCCCCTAGTTTTCAAAAACCAGCCCCCTTCTGCCAATCCAGGCGGGCCACCGGCGATCAGAGTAGGTGGTCCCGCCTGTCGATTGCCGGCGAGTCCATTTCCTCTCAGATCGTGGTACGCCTGCGTCCTCGTTGGTCGAGGAGTGTTGGGCTTGTCAGGGAGATCCGATCAACGGGCCGAGTTGCGAACTCGGTCACCCATCGCCTTTGTCTAGGACTAGTCGGTTTCTTGCGTCGAGTCTCATGGCAGTTGTTGGCTTGTCGCCCTTGGCTGCTCCTCTTTTTACACTAGCAAGGTTTTTGGTTTTGGGGTGGTGGTTCGACCACTGATTGACTGCAACTGTTCCTCTTTAGCTTATTTGGTAGTCTTGTTATTTTACGTTATAGTGTTGGTCTGTGGTTGAGCTTGGTTACTGTAGCTCTGCTCAATCCCTCTTGTTTACGACCTGGAATCAGGGTCTGTTTCACTTTGTTTCTTTTTTGGTTGGTACTGTTTGTGTGTTTCCCTTTCGTGATTTTGTTAATCATTCCCCTTTCGGGTTAAAGAGTTTGTTATGGACTGCCGAAATTTATTTAACGCCCTTACGTACACCCACTTGAATGATGATTTTGACGAAATCATTATCAACTTTGCCAATAATAATTGTCCCCGAAATATCCTTAATCACACAAAAGATTTAAAGGAGGAGGGCAATATTTACTTCAAGAAAGGTGAAGTCGTTCTTGTTGGGACTAAGTATGACAGAGGGCTGAAACTTTTGTGCTTTTGTCTATCTAGAGATGAAGATGATTGTGCCTTTTTATGGAATCTTGCCATATCCCTTGAGTTAAACCTCGCAGCTTGCGCCCTAAAAGTTCGGGATTTTGAACAAACTAAGGAGCTCTACTCATTAATCATTACGCTTGATGCTGACAATACTAAAGCCCATTACAGGAGAGCTTTAGCCAAAATCAAGCTTTATCAATTTGAAGAGGCCCATGAAGATCTTGGCAAAGCAGCCAAGAATGACCCTAAAAATCAGGACATCCTTCGCGAGATGGGGAAGGTGGAGGGGTTGAGAAGACAAGCTAGCAAGATAAAGGGAAAGAGGGGCACTGAGGAATCCGAGTTACCCCACATCATCTTCAACAAGAAGGGGAAGATCAACAACCCCTCTGTTAGTCTAGACTCTTTCGGGTTGCCCAGTAGCGATGCTTAGAGTGATATTACAGCCTTACCCACCATGGATGCTGCTAATGTCCTTACCCTTTCGGAAAGGGGGGACGATGATGCTACTAGCCCTCCGAACAACCAGGATTCTAGACATGATATGGACAAGGGACCGAGGAAATCTCATAATTTCCTCAATGGATCGAGAAATAACCAGTGCCTTAAGATTTCCTATTTATCTTATTCAGATCTCAAACAAGGGAAAACCTTGAGTTCTTTAAGCATTCTGCTATATCATGGATGACTGTACGAGTGAAGGGAAATACCACCTATAATGGGAATCCTGAACCCCATAAGGAAAAGGAATCCAAAGTTCCTGAAACCTTATTTACGCCCACTAGGATGGTGGGTCCTAAAAAGAGGTGTCGCAATAGAAAGGACCAAAGGAAAAAGGCCAAGCGACCCCTGGACGCTGTTGAGGTTAGCTAAGTTGTCGGATCGCCCAAGCCTAACACTGCTGCCGTTGAGAAGTTGGATGATCATATACCTACTAGCCTAACTTCTAGCAGCAATAAGGGTTCGATTATCAAGGAGGGGATTGAGTTACCTGCGAGATATTTAACTACCACTGATATTGATGAAGTGGAATCCGTAGGCTCTAACGACGAAGACCCAATGACAGTTGAATACGACCAAGTGCAACTCTCTCCACCACTCTCTACCTTCACGTTCTCTGCCATGTCAACAAAAAATGGAAGACCAATTAGGTCAAGGGTGAAGAACAAGAAAGGTAAAAGGTATCTCTGTCGTTATTTTTGCAGAATCAAGAAGCGCAAGGGAATAAGTTTGGAACAACTTAATGCTAGTTCTGGCGATGGAACTTCTCATCCCCCTTATTTGCATTGCTTAGCAGTTCATAACGTTTGTAACCCCAATCCCCCGTTTAGTTCTTGTATTAGTTTGGTTAAGAGGTTTAAATTTTCTCGCTGTATTGTCGAGTCAGTTGGGAGCTAGCCTCCTTTTGAACCGTTATAAAAAAAAAAAATCTTGTTTTGTCTTCTAATTGAAACGATCACTATTAAACCGGAAAAACTTTTTTAGATAGAGAAAGTTATAAGCTTTACTGGAATATTTTATAAACACCCGCGTGTACCGTGCACCCAATTAACCCTAAGTTAGTTTTTGCTCTTCATTTGATGATTAAATGCATGAAAACAATCATCAAATTGAGAAAAATAAAATGCTCATGGGTGTACCGTACACCCAGGTGTATGTAACAATAATGTCTCCAAGTTCACAATTCCAACAAATAATTGGACAGTTTCTTTTAACCTTTAAAATCTACAATTACCTTCATATCATAATGATTTGAGTTTCTTAAAAGTTGTATTCATAGGTGGGAAATTTGGGATAAAACCAAGCTAAGAAAGTTGTGTTTTGGTAATGTTTCCATACAAAACTTGCATAGAAAACTAAGATCTAATTAAGAATTTTTTTTGTTTTATCTATTAGTAATGCATATCTTATAACCTAAGCTTTTTATTTTTGGTGTCCCTAATTTAACCTCTTTATGTAACTTATTGGTGTCTATATCTATACTTATGATCAACAACTTTATTTGTGTGGATGCACCAGTAAATTTATGTAATTGTCTAAATTTGAATAATTAATAGAAACCCCTTGATAATTTCTGCCATTTTTTGTGACTTTACCAAAAGTTTTTCTGATCATTAGCTGATTAGCTCCATGTATAGCAACCCACAGATACCGTTAAAATTCATGAGGGAGCATTAAAAACTTCATATAGTAATAAATTTAATTATTTCGAAGATAAGTTAATAGATTCAATATTACAATTAAATTGTAGACATACACTTTCCTCCATTTCAATATAGTATATAATTGCATCATTTCTAAATGACAATTTTTTTTTTTTTTTTTTAAATAATAAGAAAGAAAATGTTTAAAATACAAAACTATCTCTCCAAAGGTTGAGTGGGATGAGATTCAGGTCTACCCGTGTTTAAAACTTATTTTTCTTGAAACGAATGAAAAACAAGGTGAATAAATCAAAGCCTTAGATACTTTCAATTTAAGAAAATGCACCAAATGATATTAACTACACAAATTTCCTAGTAAACCTTCCACGAATTGAGGTCTACCCGTGTCCATCTTCTTCTTCTTCTTCTTTTTTTTTTTTTTTTTTAATTTAATTTAATTTTATTTATTTATTTATTTATATTTCAAGCTAATAATTTGTCAATGAATTCCAATTCTATGAAATCTTTGAAGGCTCTTGTTAATGGGCGTCTCAGGGCATAAGTATACCTTAAAATAGTGTTAATTTTGAAACGCATGTCAAAATCACGCATCAATCAGTGTAATTAATATATATTTTATCTTAATAATATCACTTTTAGTTCTCTTATCCATGTTAGCTTTTGCCATCTTTGAATAACCACTAACATGAAAATATGCCAAAAGTAAATTATAGTTTCTCTTATATTCATACTCCGTGGTTGAGATTATTTCAGGAAGTCGAAATTATTTACTGCACATGAATACTAAATCTAATAATACTTGATATTAATTTTTTTTTTAAAATTAAAAAAAAAAACTCAATTTTATTTTAGGCCAATTAGCACTCTTCGATAACTACTCGTAACTTGAAGTAGATTTGAATTTCCTTTTATAATAATTCATATGAGTGACAACCTAACCCAACAAGAAGAAGCACATAGGTGGATAATTAAAGTAATGTAAATGTAGGAGGAATTTCAGGAAGTGAAAAACATAGAAAATCATATCACAAAAAAGTGAGAGGAACCAAGCATATGAGCTAAGCATGCTTAGGATTGAGAAAGGAGAAAGTTGGAAGGTGGGGGGGAAGCAAATTAATATAAAATCATTTTTAAAATCCCAACTTTTTTTTTTTTTTTAATTGTTGAAATTAAAATAAATTAAAAATCCCAATTATATATTAATCTTAAATAAAATAGATTAAAAATCCCAAATTATCTGATTAGTGGTACAGGGGTTACTTCGTCAGGGTTATAGGGTTTATTAGGTCATTATTACATGGATTATACGGTAAGAGTTGTAGAAAATACTTTTTTTTTTTTTTTTTTTAACAAATAGCCACATAGTATGGTCAACCGCATACAAAATACAACTCCCTCTGTCCCATATTATATTTCATGTTTTCCTATTTTGGATAATTAAAATGTTGTTCCTGTTTCCATTTTTGGATAGTATATCAAGACCGTTATACCCTCATTTTTTAAACTTTATTCATTGTACTTCCTAAATTACCCTTCATTTTTCCACTTGGTTTGTACTTTTTTTTTTCCACTTTTTCTCTTTAACTTTTGTCTATAATTGTACTTTTTACCTTTTTTATGTACTTCATTCACTTTCTCTTCTTTAACTTTTGTCTGTAATTGCACTTTTCACCCTTTTTAACGTACTTCATCCACTTTCTCCTCTCATTTCTTAAATACCGTGAAAAAAATACAAATATAAACTATTTATATTGGGACGGAGGGAGTACGTATCAGTTTAATAAAATAAAATTAAATTAAAACACCAATTTTTACTTTTTATTTATTTTTATTACAAAGTAAAATAAAATTAAAATCTCAATTCTATATTTTATTTTTCAAAAAATAAATAGAATAAAAATAAATCCCAAGAAAAAAAGAGTAAGGGAAGAGGGACCTGCTCCAGTCTGTTGAATGTCGGCTTCTTCCTTCTTCTTCTCCTTCAAAAGCTGCTTTCCTTTGCTCCTCTCTTTCTCTCTCTTCCTTTCTCGACACTTTTCTCTCTCTACTTTCTCTCTCTACTATATGCATACCTCCATTTTTCTACGCTTAAACAGCTCTTTTCGACACAATTAGCTCAACAAATTCAGCTCAATATTTAATTGAATTGTAAAAATGGTGATATATTATCAGCAAGATTTTTGCTGATATAATTATTTTTTGGGTTGATTTGATGAATGTGGTTTTAGTCTTGAAGACAATGTTGAAGATGATTGTTCTGGGTTTGAAGTTGTAGTAAAGAGCCCAAAAAAAAAAAAGAAAAATTAATTTTTGGGAATTAGAAAGTGGGTTTGTTAATCATGAAAGCTCCATCAAATGGTCTCATGGCTAATCCTGGAGAAGGTGATGGATGTTCTTAATTTTTTAATTTTATTATTTAAGTTGGTTTTTAATCTTGTTATTATTTGAAAAAAAAGTAATATATATATATTTTTCTGATTTTTTTTTTTTATAATTTCCAAATTTGATGTTGGGCGAAATTTATGATCTGGAAAAGATTTATGATGATCTGGAAAAACTTATGGTTGACATTTATCTGTTATAAGTTCAAATTATTAAGCTACTCTTAATTTTTTATTAGCAATTTTTTTTACCTTATTTTGGGGATTTGGCAATAAATTTTTGGTATCTGGGGTTGTTTTGTTGTTTACATATAATCCACTTACCTGAAGAAGTAGGAAACATAATCAATCCAAAATAATAATAAAAAAAAAAAAGAAAAAAAAAGGAAGCATAATGAATATCAGGAAAAAGATTGAAGTTGACATTTATCTTCCCCTTGCAACATAAGAAAGAGCTCTGAAACTCCTGCATTCATATATTCTTCTTCAATGCTCCTGCCATTTAATATGTGCTAGTAAATATGTGCATCAACAATTCTGATTATTCCACTTCATAAATAATGGGTATAATTAGGCTATTTATTATGTTAATTAATTGTTTAGATAAATCTGTGATGTGAATTCTTTTTCTGGGATGTGTCTGAAATTTTGTTCTTGAATCAGATTATTTACCTTATTTTACCAGTTTCCGCGTACCTAGAGTTAGGTGCACCCGAGTGGCCGGGGACCAAGGTTGCCGGTGTACAATGGATATTGTATAGAATGATTTATGTCTTAACTTGATGATCTCCTGCTTTTTTTGCTTTGTTTACTGTGGATTGAGTATTTCTCTTGTTTTGTGTAACTGAACTCAATTGGTTTGGTATGTATGACAGAAGGAAGAGCCATAAATTCAGAGTTGTGGCATGCCTGTGCTGGTCCATTGGTTGCTGTGCCTCCTGTTGGAAGCCTTGTGGTTTACTTCCCACAAGGCCACAGCGAGCAAGTACGGTAGTTTTCATATATGCAAGATCTGTTGTGATTGAATGCTGAGTTCTTTCTTTCTAATGGAGTTTACTGCAATCTTGTTGTGTTGCAGGTGGCAGCCTCTATGCAAAAGGAGACCGATGGCATCCCGAGCTATCCGAATCTTCCATCTAAGTTGATTTGTATGCTCCACAGTGTCACGCTACATGTAAGGCTCCTTGGATTCTGATGATACTATAAAATGGTTTTTGGATTAGGATTGATTTTAGCCTAACCTCTTTGGATGGTTTAACATGTATTTATTATGTTGACGCAAGTAGGTGTTGTATGAATTTGACTTACACAATATTCTTGGATTGGAACTGAATGCTGAAGTATATGTTATATTGGTGCTTTGCTTGTCAATTTTCCAGTTTACATGTTTTATACCTCATGTTTTATGCTCTTTTCATGATACCAGGCTGATCCTGAAACCGATGAGGTGTATGCACAAATGACTCTTCAACCTGTTAATAAGGTAAGCCGTCCATTTAATTACTCCTAGGATCTAAGATCAAGTTAAAGATTTTATTTTTGGTTTGTAATCTTACTTCTTTATGTGATGTTCCTTCCATGTCTTTCTCACAGTATGACAGGGATGCTCTGCTCGCATCAGAGATGGCCCTTAAACAAAGTAGGCAGCCTGCAGAATTTTTCTGCAAAACTCTCACAGCTAGTGACACTAGCACACATGGAGGGTTTTCTGTACCTCGTCGGGCTGCTGAGAAGATATTTCCACCTCTGGTGAGTTGTAATTCAAACAAATCCATTTTATGTTTTTTTGTCATTTTTTTCATCACCTTATTATTGTGCTTACCTGGAAGAAATTTGATAGGATTTTTCTATGCAACCTCCTTGCCAAGAGCTGATGGCTAAAGATTTACATAATCAAACATGGACGTTCAGACATATTTATCGAGGTAAGCTTTAGTCTAGAAATTGCATCTCATCATACCATGGCCAATTTCTCTTATTGTAATTCTTTAATATTTCATTTTCTGCGTGGCCATTTTACATCCTTGTTGAATGAGAGAACTAATTCCATGCGGAAGCCATAGGTTTTCAGAAAATAGCATATTATTATTCCCTGTTCTACCTCCTCCTTTCCATGTTTTCTGTATAATGAGCTTTGTTGTTTTATACTTAAGGTTGCCATGTCTTAATATTGCTGGTTTTGGCTGTTTAATAGCCTTTGACTCTTAAAGTGCCATGAGAGTTACACTTCTAACTAGCCAAAAAATGTTGTGAGTTTCTCGTGGTTTTGAGCTGAGCTTGAACAAATTTTGAATCTCAAGAATACATATTCATAAAATGGACAACTTTGTAAAATATGACCATGAACAAGCTCGTTTATTCTATTTGAAGCTCGTTTAAATCATTGCTAGTTTAGCATGTAAACACTTCTCTAAAAACTACCGTTTGCCTTAAGCTTGTAATAAAATTCATGATTAAGACATAGAGCTTTTTACGAGCTCAGTTCAATATATGAAAAAACAATAATAAATGAGCTCAAACATGACAATTCCCAAACTCACCAAGTTTGAAAGACTTTGATATCATGATTGAAAAAGTAAAATGAGCTTGAACATGAACATAGACACTAAGTAATACTCTGCCTAGCTCCTTACCAAAGCGCTCTTTCAGTTTTTTGTTCCACCAGAATGTGCAATGATCTAATGTCATCATGCAAATCTTCTTAATTATAGGCCAGCCGAAAAGGCACTTGCTGACTACGGGATGGAGTGTTTTTGTTAGCTCGAAAAGATTGTTTGCTGGTGATTCTGTTCTCTTTATAAGGTATAATGTTTGACATTTGTTTGTGATGATGTATATTTTTTTAAAATGTGTATTGTGGTAAAACTAGTGTACTAGCCTCCTAGCTGATTCAATGACTTTGCTTGTAGAGACGAGAAATCACATCTTCTTTTAGGTATACGGCGGGCAAACAGACAGCAGCCTGCCCTTGCTTCATCTGTTATATCCAGTGACAGCATGCATATTGGAATTCTTGCTGCTGCAGCTCATGCTGCTACAAATAATAGTCCATTTACCATTTTTTATAATCCAAGGTAGTTTGCTGTATATAAAGCTTGAATAAATTTCACCTTTCATCAAATTTTATCTGACTAGCGTTATCTCAAACTGAACTGATTATGACAGGGCTAGTCCAGCTGAGTTTGTAGTTCCCTTGGCTAAGTATAATAAAGCGATGTATACCCAAGTTTCTCTTGGCATGCGATTTAGGATGATGTTTGAAACTGAAGAGTGTGGCGTACGTAGATACATGGGTACTATAACAGGGATCAGTGACCTTGACCCGGTGCGATGGAAAAACTCTCAGTGGCGTAATCTACAGGTACTGCTCCTGAATTTCTTAAACGGCATTTTTTCTTGAAACAAAGCTGTCAGAGTATAGTTGTATTTTACTACCTCCGTTTCTTTTTTAGTTGACACGTTTTAACTTTAGCACTATTCACACACTCTCCTTTGACCGTGTTTTGTGCTTTATACGTATTGAAAAATATAATCATGTGGGATCTTATTAGATTCGTCACGATCTATATTTTCAAAATATCAACTTTTTATAATTTTTGCTAATCGGTAATTAAAGATATTAATGATTGAATTTGTGCATTGGCAAACGTGACTAAAAACACGTGTCAACTAAAAAGAAACGGAGGAAGCATTAATTATCAACCTTCCCGAGATACAATTGCACAAAGATGCCTGACTTGCCTCATTCTGGCAGTGGCTATTTATAATCTTATTGAACATTTCTTGCCCCTTTATCTCCTGTCAAATTGTATTCAATATCTCAAAAAAAAAAAAAAAAAAAAAAAAATTCAATTTCTTTTTTCATGCAGCTATTGGTATAGGTACATGCACATTATCCATTCTTGAGGAAATGCTTCATGAGTTATACCATTTATATTGTATCATCTTATAGTCATTACTAGATAAAGCCCGTTCGATGTACGGTTTATTTGTATTTTTTAAAACAATATATATATATATATTTATTTTGTAATTATGTGATAAAATTTGTTATTTTATTCGTTGTTCGTAGTATATCATTTAATATTTTTAGTTTAAATATATTGTGTCTCATTCGTTAAATATTTAGATAAAATCCCTAATTTTAAAAGATAATATATATTTTTTTTATTAATTTAAACTTTAAAATCTCACTCGCCAATTTAGCTTATGTGGCATTTGAATTATTTAATTATAAAAAAATTTACAAATATCTTATTTGATTGGCTATCACTAAAATTTATAATCCTACATGGCGCATTAAGAAAATTTTATCTTACGTGGCTCTCGAAAAACTTGGGAAAAAACTCCCCTTTATATATATACTAGTTTTGTGTCCCGGGCGCAAGTTGTTTATTGAATTTTAGGATAAACCTTTTTGCTTGAATATAATGTTAAATACGGTCATATAATCACTTTTGTTAATGCAGGATATTTAGACATACAATATCATACTTAAATTATTTTTACTAAACTGAAAGTATTTTTATTGATTAAAACTTATTTTTACTAATTCTCTATTATTTAAATATATTATAAATGGATCTTATTTTAAAGAACTTTTTAAAATGAATTTATAACCGAGTTATTAGATTTTTATTAAAAGTTATGATTAATTTTGTATATGTGAAATATTAGTAGTGCGTAGATAATAAAACTCTATAACATTTTTATCATTAAAAATCTATCCAAATTTCGATTATTTAGCATCCTATTTGTCGCCTACGTGGTGCGACATTTTGCGAAAAACTGGAATGCCAAGTGTCGTCGTCTCGTGGCCTGGCTGCTAGACCGGCATTATATATTAGTGATATGATATATATAAGATTTCATATTAGCTTGAATCGTCATGGTCCTTGTTCACCAGCATTTGTCTTGTTTAGGTTGGCTGGGATGAATCGACAGCTGGGGAACGACCAAGTCGGGTCTCCATTTGGGATATAGAGCCTGTTGTAACTCCCTTCTACATATGTCCTCCTCCATTTTTCAGACCAAAGTTTCCTAAGCAACCAGGGATGCCAGGTATGCTTTTAGATGATAATCTTACCATAGGAGCTTAGTTAATCTCAAGCTATGTTACTACTAACCAGTAACAATCACTTACATAGAGTGATTGTTTGGTTGATGAACATGATTTCGGCTTTATATCTTTGAAGGGCTTAATCTCTGATAAATTCTTGCTATTTATCAAATTTGGTTGTGGAATTTTACAGATGATGACTCTGATATGGATAGCATGTTTAAGAGGGGTATGCCCTGGCTTGGTGATGATTTTGGCATGAAAGATGCTGCCAGCTCAATATTTCCTGGCTTAAGTCTAGTACAGTGGATGAACATGCAACAAAATAATCAGGTTCCTGGTGCACAATCAGGGATTTTTCCATCTATGCTTTCAGCATCTGCCTTGCATGGTGGCCTTGGTACCGATGATCCTTCTAAGCTGTTGAACTTTCAAACCCCGTCTATGTCTATGCCAAATCTTCAATTCAACAAAGCTGGCCAACATAATCAAGTAGGTCAATTCCAGCAGCAATCTGCAGCGTGGTCTCAACAGCAACAGCAACAGCTGCAGCAATTGCTGCAGCAGCAACAACAACAGCAGCCACAGCAGCAGCAGTCTTTGCAACAACAGCAGCCGCAGCAGCAGTCACTGCAACAACAGCTACAGAAACAGCAGTTACAGCAGCATCAACAACAACAGCAACAACAGCAACATCAACAATTACAGCAACAGCAGCAGCAGCAACAGTTACAGCAGCAGCAACATTTACAACAGCAGCAGCAGCAGCAAAACCTACAACAGCAACAACAACAACAGCACCAACTACAGCAAGCACAACCACCACTGCCTCCTGCAGCACAAAAGCAGCAAATGCCTCAATCAACATTTGTAAATAGTGGCCTCATTTCTCCTAACCAAAACATAAATCAGAATGTGTCACAGTCTCCAATATATTCTCAGCTTCATCACCAGCAACTGCAGGTTGGAAATACTCAGTGCACACCAAATATTCAACCTAACAAAGATTCTGTTCATTCAACATCCTTAGCTCCAGATATGCAGTTTCAGCAGCAAACAGAACAGCAAAGTAGTGCTCTACAGAGGTTTCAGCAGCAGCAGCAGGCACAAATGCAACAGTCCTCCCAACAATTACTTCAAGAGAGCCTCTCACAGAGGCCGCCTGCCTTGCAGAGCCTCTCAGAGCATCAACTTCAACTCCAGCTGCTGCAAAAATTACAACAGCAACCTCAGGCACAGCAGCAACATCAACAACATCCTCATCAGTCACATCCTATGCTGTCTCCTACTAGTTCTCAAGTTCAGCCTCAAGTAACAGCACAGCAACATGCTCCCCAACCAAACCAACATATGCTGCAGCGTTCCACATCTCAGTATCAGCTGCCACAAGTGGGTGTCAGCACTATGTCCACATCTCCACTTATGAATTCTCCTGCAGTTTCAGCAGTGCAACTTCAGGGAATGCAGAAAACAGGCGCGATAGTAAGATCACTATCTTGTCCAACGGACGGAGATGCTCCATCATGTTCTACGTCACCATCTACAAATAATTGCCAGATTCCCCAATCAAACTTCTTGAACCGCAACCAACCAGCTCGGAATGTGCTGGTTGAGCATTCGGTTGAGCCCAATAGTAATATGGTACAGGATCTCCAAGAGAAGTCTGATCTTAGAATCAAGAATGAAATTCCCAACTCAAAAGTAATAGAACCGTCTCGTATCAATGGCATCATCACTGATCCACTGGAAGCATCCTCTTCTGTTACTTCATATGGCTTGGATGCTAGTGGACTTCATCAGAATCTTTCACTTCCGAGCTTTGGGTTGGATGGTGATGTGCAGTCTCATCCAAGGAATAATCATCCGATATCAACCGCCATGGATGATCTTACACCTGATACTTTTTTGTCAAGGGGTTTTGACTCAGGGAAGGAGCTCCACAACTTGCTTTCTAGTTACAATGGTGCTCCTAGGGATATTGAAACAGAATTGTCTGCAGCTGGTATGAGCCCTCAGTCATTTGGGGTTCCAAATATGCCTTTCAAGTCGGGATGTTCAAATGATGTAGCAGCAATTAATGACCCTGCTGGATTGGGTGGTGGGATTTGGCCAAGCCAGGCTCCACGTATGAGGACATATACAAAGGTTAGTTGTCCTGCTTGATTTGTATGTTCTTATGGTAATTGGTTGTGAAATGCAAGCATCTTATTATTTGTGAATTGGAAATGACACGTGTATTTGTTTAACATCCTAAAAGGGATAATCTTGCATGTTTTGAGAAACGGAGGAAGGGATAATCTTATTATTTGTAAATTGGATATGAGAAAACTTATATGTGATTCCTCTTTGATTTCAAAAGGTGCAAAAGCGTGGCTCAGTTGGTAGATCCATTGATGTTACCCGTTACAAGGGATATGAAGATCTCAGACGCGATCTTGCTCGCATGTTTGGCATTGAAGGGCAACTGGAAGATCCTCAAAGAACAGATTGGAAACTGGTCTATGTAGATCATGAAAATGACATCCTACTTGTGGGAGATGATCCGTGGGAGTAAGTAGTTGATTTATTTTTCCAATGAATTTGCACATGTACTTATTCCATTTCCTTGTCCTGAACTTTCTCTTTGTTCAATTGCAGAGAATTTGTGAATTGTGTTCTTAGCATAAAGATATTATCATCTGTCGAAGTGCAACAGATGAGTTTGGACGGAGATTTGGGTAGTGGACCGATCCCTAATCAAGCCTCTAGTGGTACGGACAGTGGTAATAATGCATGGAGAGGGCCATTCGATGATCACTCTGCTGCTTCATTCAATCGTTGAGGGTTTCAAGCTCAGATCAATCTTTTCTGACTGAGCTCCCTACAAACATGCATACCATACTTTGCCTGATAAATACTCAGAAATAGATGGAACACAGGTGAAATGGTTGAGCTCGCACTCGTAACAGTTTTTGTCAAAAACAGAAGGTAAACTATTCTTGGGTAGGCTGCTGGATCTTAATTATGCCCTGGCCTCTCAACACCCATAACCTGAACACATCAATGTAACTTAGATTATCATTTTTGAGCCATTAAGCTCAATCTCCCTCTTCTCCCACTATATATCCATATGGAGCTAGGGGCGAGAAGTTAAACTATCGGTCAGTAGGTTATAGGAAGTACAGACCTGGTTTATCTTCTGGCACCGACATTTGTTTTCATGCAACCTGTCTGTAAAGCTAGGGTTGTAATAGATGTAGTGTTGTAGTAGTTACTAACTCCATATGCAAAGGCAATGGCTGAAATTCATGTCACCCCTTTTGTAGTTGTAAATGCTATTAATTAAGAAAATCTAGAGTTTGAGGTAGGTAGTTTTTTCCTTCTGGGAAAAATGAGATATTAGGCACAATGTTTTAGCCAGAAAAATGTTATTCAGATTAGTGTACAAAAGTGATTTGAAGAATGTTACATTGCAAGATTTGCAGCACCTATTTTTCTGTCTAGTGGTTGCGTTGGTTTGGTATGTTATTTGCCGTTTAACTAGCAAATCATGTCCAATCTACGCAAATTGATAGATTCGCCTGAATTAAGAGCTTGTACCCCCTCACAGTTTAAGATGGGTGAGCATGATGCACCAAATGAACCTCGGTGAAGTTTAAGTTCATGTTAACAACATTACAAGTGTGGGTTACAACAAACAATGTCGATTACATTGATTTTAACCTCACTTATCTGAATGTTTATAATAATAGAAAAATAAAATTATAAAATTGTAGTTTATGACTCGTGAAGTTCTTACACAAACATGATGGAGGAGTTTTGGTTGGTTTAGGATGCTTCCCATTACGATTCACCTAATCTATCTTAATTAATGTTAATGATTTATGCATAAGATAAGTAATTTTAACGTTAAAGATTATTGTTTAACGTTAATTGTCATTTATGCTCTAATTTTACGCATAAATTAATACTATACTACGGAGTACAAAAGTGTTGAAGACACATACAACATACCAACTATTACTATATACCTATAGTAGTTTAGGTATATTTTACAAAATAGAAACCTTATATTATGTGGGTTTTTGTATCGTAAATTATCAGTACCATCTAAATTTATATTTTTAAATACATCCAAATAATCATTGCACCGATTTTTCAAACTATCCAACGTTGTAATTTCTTTCAAAAATAGATTAATTTCTAATGTTTAATTGAAGAAGATTCAACATAATTGAATTTGCATCAATTTTCAATGTTATCCTGCAATAAATCAATTTAAGTTTGTGAATTGATAGAAATTAAAAAGTTTTAAATAATGGGATTTTTTTGAAATTATATTTTATAACACTAAATGAAAATGATAATATAATCAGGAGCGGAGCTAGGGGGCTGGTGGAGGCCCGGCCCCGTGGCCTAACCGACATATGTCAAAGCTGGCCCCCTAAAAATAGTAAAACATAGATTAATTGTTAACTTAATACTGAATTTGTAAGTCATAGCTCAGCGGTAGTAGATGCGTGAACTTTGCATTTTACTGCTACACTTAATTGATGAGTTGAATCACTAACATACATATTGCTTAATAACATTTTTTTATAAACTACTCCTTTCGTGTCTTTTCTATAGCTACACTTAGACATTTACGGTCTCCTATTCATAATTTTAACTACATATATATTCAATATAAAGTTAGTATTACTTCTAAAAAAACGATATTTTAAAAATTCATTTCATGATATATCTAACAACATCTCATATGATATCGTTTTATATTAGTGTCTTTCTATTGACTATTGGCAAAGGTTTAATTGTTGACCACCAAACTCAAAATGTAATTAGAAGTAGTAAAAATACGATCAAAGGTAGTTTATAATAGTGCATGCACAAGCATAAATTTTGGAATAATGAAACATAATTAATACTAATACATTACTATTTTAGTAATACGAAGTATAAATTTTGGCCCTAAAGTTTAAAAATCTGCCTTCGCCCTTGGATATAATGCTTATACAAAAAGTTGGACAATATAACTATTATATTGAATTTATACACAAAAGATTTTCGAAATAGGACAGATTTAATTGGAGTGACCATCTTACTTTTAATTCATATATATTGAGTTACATAGAATTTGTCAATAGCAAAGGATAGGGTTTCTCTATAGTAGAGATTGGAAAATTGATAATTATACTCTAGTGATTGCTTATTTTGATTCGTACTTGAGTGCAACATCGAGAGAGATTTTTCAGTGATGATCTTTGTGAAACTAGTTTACAAAGTAAAATGGAAAGATGAATGCCTCACAGTAGTTGCTTTTGTATATAAGAAAAAGATCTTACTAAAAAATTACAATTGGCTTAATCATAAATATGTTAATCATAGAGGAGAGTTCAATTTAATTCCGGAAGCACAAACACTTTAAAAAGACCGACTTAAGATGTGTTTTATTAACTTGATTTTTATTTATCTGAACTTATCTTAATCTATTTTAGTTGTTATTTGAATTTGGGTAACCTTTATCAGAACTTAAGGTAAACATAACAGACCCTTACACTAAATTTGTGTAGAACCAGCCAATTAACTCCTTTGGACTCAGACATGCACCGGTGGAAATAATTTTTTCTTTATGTTTTTCATTCTTTCTTATTTTCATTAAATTTTTTGAACATTTTATCTCGTCAGCAAATTGGAAGTTGAACAATACTTCGTCAGAATTTGCTAATCATTGAGGATCAATTTGAAATTGAAGGAAATTTATACTCGTACAAATTTTATTTTAAAATCTAGCTTCTTTATTCAATTTTTAGGGTTTACTTTTTTCACTTTTACTAATATTTTTTTCTGTTAACTAATGGTTCTTATTTCAATTTTCAACAGTTTAGATGTTGAATTTCATCATGGTGAAGTTTAAGAGATGCTATGACATTTTGATATTTTATTTAGCCTATTTTTAATGTTTTAGGAAAACTTGATTAAATTAATTCGACGGAGTATATAAAGGTTAATATATTCATATGAATTTTTAAAAGCATATAAGTTTCTAAGATTAATCTATTAAATTAATTCTATAATGTTATCAATATTTAACAAGTTCAAGTTAGTTAAGTTCTAATAAGTGAATATGCAATGAATAAAGAGAAGGTATTGGGTGCGGACTACCGCACAAAAATTTGCATGCGGCAGGCTTGCTGATATATTTACTTGTTGGTTGATATGTTTCATTTGTTGGCTAATACGGTTTTTGTGTTGGCTAATACATTCCTTTTGTTGGCTGATATTGTTTAGGGTAAAAATACCCTATGCCACGTGGCCTAGTAGAATCGTGACACATGGCAGCCCACTAACGGCCCAACGGGATCCAATCGGATGCTGCCACATGGCATCAAAACCCTAATCAGGGAGCATGTTTCCCCCACTATAAATAGGGGAATCCCCCTCATTTATTGGGCATTCATAAATTCAAAAAAATTCATACACGAAACCCGAGCAATATTAATTGCGGAATCTCTCTGAATCAGTGAGAAAAACCTATTTACCTTCCGCACATTTACCTATCCGTAAATCATACTAACTTGATCGTCGGAGGCGGAACTCCACCCAATCGGAGTTTCGTGGTTTTGCAGGTACAGAAGTCAGGCGCGCATACTCCGTATTGTAACTCTCCCAAGGGACTAAAATCACCCGAAACATTTGGCGCCGTCTGTGGGGAGAGTACTACTGAGATTGCATCCGATCCTGTACCGAATGCAGAGGGCAGCCGGCCTCCGGCTGACCCTGAGGTCTATACGGACCATGAGAGTGGGAGTGGGGACGACTACGACGTCGAAACCTACATGGCACCGGACGGATCATTCCGTTCTAGGCGCACACGTTCCAAGGAAACAAGGGAACGAAGCCAAGACAAAGCTTGCCCCAACAACCCAGGCGGCAAGCCTGTTGGACAACCCCAGGCGGCGGAGGGTACTACCCCCGTCACCAGAGACGAGCTCATGAACCTCATGACCAGTTTCAAAGGGGAAATCAAAGATATAATCAGGAAGTCAGCTGGCTCCAGCAAGGGTTAGTCGACAAAGAAGCTTTCTCCCTCCGGGAAGAAGAAAATGAAAGATCGAGTGCCTACTCCGCATCCCAAACACAAGGGGACGGATGGGCCCCTGATTGACCTTTCGAAACTTTGTTTTCCCGAAACGGGGCAACGGAAGGCCATCCGACATACACAGCCGGATGGGTCAAAGAAGATGTTCTCTGACGCCCGGTTATTCATCCGGGAGAAGAAAAGTCAGAGCATGTCTCAGTCGGCCTCAATGTCGACCTACTCAAACAGTTTCCGAAATGCTTCAATGAAGCATTCGGAGACGCAGCAGGGGAGTCAGTCACGCAGTGTATCTGCACGTACTGGCCCTCATGTGATCCAGCAGCAGGCCCCGTATGTGCCCCAACAGCCATACGCCCAGTATGGATCTCCATTCATGCAGTCGACACCTTTCGGGGGTCAGGCGGCTTACCAGGTCCAGCCCATGGACTGGCAGCTCCAACTGCAAAACCTTGGGGAACAACCTTCTGCTTTCTCTCGGGAGATAACCGAGGCGGTACAACCGACCAAGGTTAAGAATGTGTTGGTTGGTGCCTACGACGGTACCACCAACCCGGAAGACCACCTAATGGCATACACCAAGCTCATGTACCTACAGGGGTTGGATGACGCCGCCTGGTGTAGATGCTTCCCGGCTACATTGAAGGGCATAGCCCAACGATGGTTCGGCAACTTACCGGCTGGGTGCATCAACAATTTTAAGACGCTTGCATACCTGTTTGCGTCAAATTTTTCCATGAATATCCCTGCTAAAAAGACAAGTCTCGACCTAGGGGCTATCCAGCAGGGTGATAAGGAAGGACTTCGGTCCTATGTCAGGCGGTTCAATCTGATGAGAATTCAGATTCAGGGGCTGTCTGACGAAGTGGCATATACAGACTTCTTTAAGGGTCTGAAGGATGGGTCAGCTTTTAAATTTGACCTAGTCCGCAAGAGGGTAGCCACCCTCCAAGAAGCGCTGATGGAGGCGGAGGCCTATATACAGGCAACCGATCTCTGCTCTATCAGGCAACGGTCGGAGCCCAAACGTTCCGCCAGGAGAGATAGCCGGCCTAACCAACCGGCCAAAAAAGAAGAAAATAAAAGAAAAGAAGTCTGGGCAGCTGACCGCCCAGGTCAGCCATCCCAGAAGAAACAACGAAAGTTGGAACCGTACGTCCCAAAGTACGAGTTCAACAAGGACTGCTCCTCCATCCTCATGGAGATAAAGGACCGGGTGACAATTGAAAAACCGGCTTCAATGAAAAGCTCTGTCAAGAACAAAGACAAAAGCAAGTATTGCCGATTCCATGAGGACGTCGGCCATGACACCAATGGTTGCTATAGCCTCAGGCGGCTATTGGACCGTCTGGCTGATGAAGGGGTCTTGGACTCCTATCTGGTGAAGACCAAGGG